GACACCAAGATCTCAAAGAAAAAGTAAATGTTTAGAAAATGATGAAGGCAACATATGTAAATATATGCTCGAAATAATTTATGTCTGAAGTGCTACAAGAGCTGTAAGACCCCCAATCAAATGATTTTAAGAAACAAACAAACAAACAAACAAAAACCCTAATAGACTACTTAACTTTTTTATTTTTCCTTTTTCCAGTGTCATTTATGCCTTTGAGTCTATATCTGGATGCATTTGGCCTGGGAATTGTCTAGATAGCTTTATTAAAGCAAGGGTTGAGGAACTGGGGAATGGAATTGGATTGTATGCTTCGGTAGTGCACAGCTGGTAGGCAAATTATCACAAACACATGGAAATCAGGGCACACTATTTCCTAATACGTTTTCAAAATGGTACTGCATTCCCTAAAGAGCAGTGAACTATCCTTAGATAATACAGAATCTAACAGAATCCAGAATGTGACATAACTAGGTAATACAAATCTACATGGCAACTGGCAGGCGCCTTGGTGGGATAGTGGCTCTGCATTGGGCATTAGACACCGAGGGCCACTTCGTGGGAGAATGATGAGGCTTTCTACTTCTACAAAGAGTTACAGTCTGAGTCTCACAGGGTCCATTCAACCCTGCCCTAGAAAGTCACTCTGAAGTAGAATCAACTCCCAGGTTGGGAGTGAGTTTGGAATGTGGATTCCAAACAGCACTTTGATTTTCTGAACAGTCATGCAAACGGCTCAGTGCTTGTCTACAAACCAACCAAAAGTGGCTCAGAGAGGCCTGTGAGCGACTTTTGAAAAACTAGCTATTCAGTTCTGTTGTGACAAGACAGACCTTGGGTCGTCATGAATCGGAACCTCCTCCCCAGCATTTGGTTTGGATTTTACCCCTTGATGCTCTGGGCTGTGCCAGGGGAATTCCACCGATTGCCAAAGCTGTATTGTCTTCTGAAGAGAAATTGTGGGGCCACAGCCTGAGAGGGGGCAACACACAGAACCTGAACCAGGTGATAGGAAAGCAAATGTTTTCTGTTCACTAACGAGGTGTGCAACACCGGCCTACTGGCTCAAGGATCCAACGGGCAGCATGCAGATGGAAATGCTTCCTCTGTCCCAATGGGAGCTTACTCACACAATACAGGGTGCTTCTGAAATTCATGGGAACATGGAATTGAAAAGTAATGGGGTTCTTCAATCAACTCCTCAAAGCCCCCTTGTATGGCAAGCATGAAAACACTCGTTGAACTAAACACCTGAGCTACTGTCTGCCGTCAAGCCAATTCCAAACCATAACCCTGGATAGTGTTTGTGAGACTGTCCATCTTTACTGGAGCAGACGTCCTTCTTTCTTCCAGTGAAGGGGTGTGTTTGAACCACAGACCTTGAGGGAAGCCCAATGTTCAACCCGCAGCACCACCAGAGCTCCTCATGAACGGAAAGCGAACAAATAGGATCAGACAAACTGCATGTGAGGCTTAACTCCTGTTTGCCATTTCAGCATAATGTCTTATGAGTACATCTGCATAAGTGCACCACCAGATTCCTTACCTCTCAACTCAAAACAAAACCACTTCCTACTGGGAAAATCTGCCCCTCCCAAATCACCCTGCTTGTTATCTAACTGGCTGACTGTTCCAAATATATGCGTGCAAATTTTCTTTTTCAATATTGCCCAGTAAGCCCACACGCTTTTTGCATCCAGTGCTGTTAATGTTGTAAATAGGGGATCCAGCATGTAGAAGTTTATCCACTAACTTCATTCCCTGCCTCTTCCATTTCTTCTGCAATTTTTCTCTTATACAACTGGGCCTCATGGGTCTGAAAGGGCAGTGGTTAAAACAATGGCTGATAAGACTGAAGAAAATGATCCACCAAAGTATAAAAGGAAAGGACAGCGATACTTCTATGAAAAAAAATGGAACCACTCGTATGTAAAGAACTTGAAGCTTTCGCCTCCCCCAAATTCCATGCTGTGTTGGGTCAAGGAGAAGCACAGCCATCCTAATAGGAAAAGAAAACCAACCAACAAGCAAGTGAACAACCAACCAAACACCAAGCTCACTGAATCAAGTTGATTCAGACTCATCCAGTCTGTCTAAGACAGAATAGCGTTGTCCCTGTGGGCTTCCACGGCTGTATATCATGACATGAGCAGAAAGCTCGTTCTTTCTCCTGAGGAGCATCTGGTGGGTTTGAACCGCTGACCTTGTGGTCAGCAGTTCAATGCTTAACCCACCATGCTACCAGGGCTCCTAACAGGAAAAGAAAACCCAAACCAAACTCAGTACAGAAGTTGATGCCAGCTCATGTTTCTGAGAAGTGTAACTCTTAATGGGAGTAGAAAGTCCTATTTTGCTTGGGGTGGGGCAGGATTGGTGGGGTGGTTTTGAACTGCTGACTTTGTGGGTCACAGCCCAATGAGTAACCACTACACCAGTAGGGCAAGGCTTACTTCCTTGAAGAATCTAGAAAGCCAAGTGTTTCCAAGAAAGGCATTCCAAGGATGACTCCAAAGCTAGCTAGAAGACAAACATCTTCAAACACCTCGAGAGAATGATCCAGGGACGTGATGGTGCATAATGTAAAGGAGGCTCTCTCAAAGCCCAGAGTGCGGGCCAAAATTAGAACAGCAAATCGTGATGAAGAGGTTGGAGCCCGGCTCTCCTCCTTCTTCTCCTTCTCCAACGTTTACACCCAGGGAACTGGGAATAGACGGACAGAGCTGCAGAAGTACAGTACATCTGTTCAGTGTTTATAACAAAACTGCCAAGGCTACACAAAAACAAAGCTGTTGGTTTGCATTTGTGCTGGAGCTGGGCTTTTGAGCACCCACAAGAGTTAAGGAAAATGGGGGGCTGCCTCCCTGGCAAGGGAATATACCGGTTTTTACAGCCCTCCATTGAAGTTCCTGTAGCCAGTGTGATTCATGACTCAATAGTGACCTTGATTAGCGTATGAGGTTTAACTAGTAACATAGCAGAAATGCTCTAAGCTTATAGATACTGATGCTGCACATCAAAAAAATGTAATGGATTATCAATTTAGCAAACTGCTGTTGTTATTTTGTTTCTGTGTAAGCCCCCCCCCCTCCTGCCCCACTCTTAATTATTGTACCATGATCATTATACACAGCAAGACCTGGTTTGGAGGCATGGGTAGGATAGATTTTTATCAATCATGTGACACTTTCATTGAAAACAGTAGATAAGCCTAGATTTTTTTTCCCATTGGGAAAACCAGAGATTTGTTGTTGTTGTTTTACTTTACAGTTCAACACATTTGGCTTGATATACAACAAATAATAAGTGACAAATGAATGAAAGGGTGATCGCCCTTCAGAGACAGGACCCTTGCTTTTCAGTTTGTATTTTCTATACCCAGTTAAGGACCAGCGTATAGTAAATCCTTAGCAAATGCTTCTAAGAAAGGTGTTCCAATGATATGCCTTCAGCATCCTCTGTACTCTTATGTGTATGTACGTAGACAGTAAAATATGAACTGGTGAAAATGATTTTCAAAAATGTACCACATATGCATAGATTGTGTGTATCTCATTTCAACATCTGGAATATCTCATGTGGGAAGAAAATGGATATTTGGGAGGAAAAATAAAAACAAACAAAGCAAAGCCCTTCAAACTTAAAAGATTTTCTTAGAGCCTTTGAAAGTAACATCCTAGGCCCTTGGTGCAGATAAACATAAACCAAATCCACTGCCAGCAAGTCGACTGACTCATAACCACCCTAGGGCGTTTCTGAGACTGTGAATCTTTCCCAGGGCAGGCAGCCTCCGCTTTCTCCCAGGGAGTGACTGGTGGGTTTGAACTGCTGACCTTTCCATTAGCCGACTAACCCCAATCCACAGTGCCACCAGGGCTCTTTTGAGGCTAGATCTTACGAGTGAAGATTCTAGACACAGGGCATGACCTCTGGAGACTGGAACCAGTCCTTCTGGGATCTCCCAAGTGCAGAAAAACCAGGAAGCAGGCAAACCCTCTGGTTACTTCTTTTTAATGAAAATCTCAAGGACAGCTGGCCATCTATGTAGGTGCTCCTGTTCACTATCCCATCCTCTACGGAGGCCTGCTGTTCCAACTGTCATCCCTCCCCAGTGGTTAGAAAAGGCTGGAGCTTTGTGGTCCTCTGCTTCAAAGGCTTTCGGGAGAGTTCATTTCCTCCAACTAGCTCACTGTTCAAACAGACCGAGTTGGACGAAGTGAAGTGACTTGCCAAAGAGCTATAGCAAGTAAATAAGTGTCCTGGTCTAAATACATCCGGAATAACTGGTATCCTCAGCTCCACTGGCCCCATTGTCCTCTTCTTAGGGTAGGGTTTGCAAACAGCAGGGAGAACAATTGCAGGTTGAGGACAGGATTGCAGGGTGGGGGGTGCGGTGGGGTAGGAGGTAGACTTTCTTAAATCCCTGAGCTTGGGGTCACCTGCTCCCCTGGATCAAAACTTTGAGACCAGCCATTCACTAGGGCTTAGGGGGACGAGGGAGTCCTTGTTTTCAGAGCCAGCTGTGAAGGATCAGCTCAACAGTGGCTTGGAGCAGCTGCTGCAGCGCTGCAGCAGGAGGCAGAAGGTGCGGGAAGGCTAGAGAGCAAAAAGCAGGGTGGCAGGGCCCTGGCCGCGCCACCTGCAGCAAACCAGGAAGTACCTTCTCTGTTAAGTGCAAAATCACCAGAGCCACCTTTGCAACCTGTCGGAAGTGTGGACAGCGCACAGCAGGCCCCACTGGGGCACAGCTAGGCTGCGGAAAGGCCAGGGACAGGCACCGCGTGGCGGCGCTCTCCGAAAGCACACGGAGCCCGGCGGGCTCCGCAGTAGCAAGCAGCCCAGCATAACCGAGAAGCGTCCAAGTTCCCCGGGGTCAGTGGGGCTCTTGGTAGGCTAGCGGCTCTCCCCGCCTTTCCCCGGAGCCCAGCTCTCCCTGCGGTCGCCCTCTCCGCCGCCCCGTCCTCTGATCGAGCGTCTCCACCGCCCGCCTGGCTCCCCACACTCACCATCTCTTGCCGGAGGAGGTGCAGCTTGGTTTGCAGCCTCTCCAGGGCGCTGGAGTGGCCACGTCGCGGGGACCCGGAGGTTGGGGAGGACGACGAGGAGGACGACAAGGAGGCAGAGAAGCTGCAGCAGCTACTGCTGCTGCTGCTGCTGCTGCTGCTACTGCAGCCCCCGCCGCCGCTGCTCCCCCCGCAGCAGTCCCCCTCTCTCTCTCCTCGGGGAGCCGGCTCCTCCCCGCGCAGCGAGCGCACCAGGCTCTCGGGCACTTTGCGCCCCAGCTTCAGCTCGATGTCCCTGAGGTCCGGCAGCGGACCGTCTTCCATGACTTCACAAGAACGCGGACAACGGCCGCGAAACGCG